TCCCATCAGTTTTTTCTTTACGACTCCAGTTAGTTGCAAGATGATTTGGAGCATTAAATTCTTTATGACTCCATTAGTTGCAAGATGATTAAATGAAAAGAATCCCTTCGCATGAAAAGGATGCAGATTTAACCTCAAGAGGAGCTTAAATGATAACAGAGATGAACTAAAAACCTATACGTCATGAGTTTAATTCTTAATAAATTTTTGAGGTCAAGTTATGAGAAATTTATTTCTCATTAATATCCTAATCCCGCGCGTGGATGACCTGCTTTTGATCAGACTGGAGAAGAAATTAGTGAAGATGCACGTAAGTTGGTTTGGATATCCCTGACCATTGAACTAAAAAAAAAAGGAGACCTAAATTCTATGTATTTTTTTTTGTTTTTACGTTTTCCTCCTTGGCTGATCCACCATTAATGAGCACGATTCTCACTTATATACAATGAATTCTACTTAAATTTACTTGGATAATGTATCAATACGAAAAATTATAATCCAATGAACTCCTTGTTGGATGACTAATCTCATCACTTTCTAACAGAGAACCCAAAAAGAGCATGGTTCCTATGTAAACAGTGGAGTTGTTGTGTATACAGTGCTAGCTAGTAATAAAAAAATTATCGTTACCATTTAGAGAGATTAGTTCTTGCACTCGAACTAATGGCATATCATTTAAATGGATTATTTTTTGGTATCACTCTGAGTCCAATTCCACATGTAATCGTAAAATATGCATATAAATTTAAATGACATTCTTAATCAATTGAAAATCGACTAGCCCAAATGGTTAGTGTGCCAACCTATGCTACAGATGAAGAATAGACAGTATGAGGCTGTAAGATTTGGCATGGTATTCACATTATTTGTTCAAGACTCAAATTAGATGATGATGTGATCGAATCTTAATAACATGATTTTTATCTTTAGATCGTGTGGTAGGGCATTTTAAGAAGGCCATCATCTGACTTCTCTATATTGGATCCTACCATATGATACTAATAAATTACTGATGAAAAATGTGATTTACAAACTTTGTCTTGCCTCCACGGTCTACTACCTTTGGAATGAAAAGAATAACATAAGATTTAAAAATAAGTATAGGGGTCCTATCACTTTGCTTAACCTGATTCAGCAAATCCTCAGGAATAGATTGTTCTCTCCCTCAGGTTCACATCCTCTGCTTCCAACGTTCAACTGCTGCACAAATGGAGGCTCCCATCAGGCTGTCTTGGCTAGTCAGTTGTTTTGCATTGTCCTTTTTTTTTTTTTGTATTGACTTCAACGGCAGGGTATTTAGTTGGAAGTTTTAGCTCAAGGCCTTAACTTGCCTCTGAATTCTGTGCCATAGAGTCGAGTTGTTTTATTTTTTTCCATCATAGGGATTCCTTATGTATATTTTCTTTTTTACAATTAACAGAACTTTACTTTCCCAAAAAAAAAAAAATTCCTTTTTAACACGAAATATTCACTATATGATACTAACAAACTATCTTTGATCTAGCTCTTCACTTAGCTCAGATTGAGTATACTTGACTCGACAGAAACAAACTAGAACTTTCTAGCTCCTCACTTAGCTCAAATTAAGTCTACTTGACTTAACAAAAGCAAATTATAGCATTATAGCTCTTCACTTGGCTCGAATTGACTCTACCTGAATCAATAGAAGCAAAATAGAGCTTTCAACTCCTAACATAACTCGGATTAAGTCTAAATTGGCTCAACAGAAGCACATTGGAGGTTAAACTAAACAACTGCTCTGAATTTTTGTAGATATTGAGATCCACAGTTAATCAAGATGTTGTCCCCAAATTACATCTCAATAATATTGTTTGACTCAAATTACGTGTCAATAACATTGTTCGACTCAATTTACGTCTCAATAACATTAGTGATTCCACTCGAAGTTTTTTTCACAGAAGTGAGGTCAAGCTTTATATTGGCCTTCCTTTTTTTTCAACCCCCAGTCTTGCAATCTAGTTGACAAAATTTCCATCATGACCGGAATAATCTCAATTAAGGGTGGCAATTTTGGACAACACGTTAATACTACTTGAAATTGGTGCGCTAGGATTGACTAATTTTTGACATGAACCTAAAAATGATGCATCTTGTTAACACAAATAACAAATAGATTCAGTTAGTGCTAATCATAAATAACCCAAAAATTGACACAATTAGAACATTTAACTAGTACTAGTCGATGTACACGTGTTTTGCACGTGGATAATTTCATTATGAATATTTTGTTTAGCACCAAAATTAAAAAAAAATGATCTCGACATTATAAATAGTTGAAGTAAACTTAATAAGATTGTGATTTTATTTTATTTTTTTTGAGAGGTGGGGGATCGAAGATTGGAAAACCTTCGATCTCTATTTGCTTGACTTAAAACAAATAATATTTTTCAAAGGTACATAAATCAATGTCTTTTTAGATTTTTTATTGTTCAATATAAAGCTCAAAGAGCAAACATCCGACGCAAAAATTCAATCAATTACTGTGATTTTTACAATTCCAACACCTTAATTTGACCTATATTAAGTAAAAACAATAGGATTAAACTCAATAAAATAGTGCTTATATATTAATCTTTATTTTGTAAAATCTAATCATATTTGACATTGTAAATATACATCAAAAAAAGAGATAAACTATCTAATACGTGGTTATATCAGATACATGGAGGATCACAAAAACTTATTTCTCTAGCTATTTGTTGTTCAATGCTTTTCCTAAATAGAGTGTAAAAAAAATAATGAAAGTTAAAGTTGTAAATAATTGTCCAACCATCAATATATAGGGATAAGATTGCAAACTCTTTTTAATTTTGGGAAAATCGCAAGACCTCCACACGTAAATAGAGACAAAGGGAATTGCCTAGCAATTGAGTTTTACGATATAGAGAGGGAACATTCACATCAAACAAATACATCAAGCGATACATTTTTATAACAATCCTTGAAACTCAGTAGGAAAGAGCAAAAGTTTTAAAAGTTTTTTGTTGTTATCTTAAATTCTTGGTTTTTCCATGTCCATAAAACTCAGATATCAACTTAGGAGAAAATTTTTAAACTTTTTTGTAGTCACAAAAAAATTTTAGCCTACAAATACAAAAACCTCAAATAAATTCATTTGGTTAGAATTAGAAGACAAAAAGTTGTCGAGTGCATTCTATGGAGAAACAAAAAGATGGTAATGTACAATTTTGTTATTACTCATAATGACATGAACATCATTAGAGTTAAAATCAATAATTAAAGTTGAAATGAATACATGAAATATTAAGTACATGTACATAACTAATTTAAGGTGATGAAATAATAGAAGAGAAGTATGTGATTAATTAGAGAAGATGAAAGAATATTGTCCAAGGGAATTATATGTTTTATGAAGGATATTATATTCAATCAAAATTTTTTTACTTAACTTCATTTTATTAGTAGTATAGATTGTATAAAAAAAATGTCAAATTTTCATCTTTTTTATCAACTATTGATGAGAATCCTAGTAAATGAAAATATTTTATACTTTCTCTTACCATTTTGATTTTGCAGATTTTTAGTTTTGAAAAAAATAAACAACTATGAATGTGGATGGTTGGGAAGTAATAGATCTTAGTTTTTAATTCATGGGCTATACGAGCCTAATTTGAACACAACATGGTAATAAACAAGAATATCAACACATTCGGCACAAATAGTTAAATAGATTTGATTAAAATTAATTGGCGTTCAATATGAATTAAAAATAACATAATTCAAATACGACTTCAATGTTGAAAAAATGGTTTTAAATTAGATTATTTGAACAATTTGAGACTTAAATAAAAGTGAGACCTACACCTCAAAATTGGTGGACCTAGTTTAAACACGTTCTTCTCGCCAAGATTATTGATGTGGTATATTTTTTTGTCTAAAATCATTAAAATTTGAATGAGAAATTATGTATCAAGAGTGACCCATTTGAAGTAATAAAATAAACTAAAAATGGTGTAGTGGAATAGGGTTTGTCTCATCTTGGAAGAAGACCAATACTTAATATACTCCTAGTTGACTTTATGAGTTAGACTCTAAGAAATACCACACTTTTGTGAACGAATCGAGTGCCTACACTATCTTAGTTACCACACACGTGCATAGCCCACTGGACTTGGGCTTGGGTCAAAAAGATATAATTTTTTTTGACAAAATTTATTTAGAGCAATGCGAATACGGATTGTAATTAAAATTGCAACCGAATTTTTCAAAATTTTTATCCATTACTTTGAATTTGGCGCTAGAGTGGGTTTGGCTCATTCTAAAAAGGTTGTTCACTCCAGGGGTACCTTTTGTCTATTCAAATTAAAAAAGTGTCTCTTTCATTTGAACAATGACATCTCATGTCTCCTCAGACAATCTAAATAGCCCACCAAAGATTTATAAATAGACTGTCTTATTGTCATTTCAATTAATCTCAATTCTGGATTTCAATTTCAAAATTTCTTCTCTCTCTGCATATTGCTGCATTGTTTTTTTGGTTCAATTCAAGTATAGAACACAAGTTGTGTTCGCTAGTCTTTGGAGATTGAAATGTTATTTATGCAAAGCTGTAATCCGTTCTATTTTAAGAGGTAGTTGTTCATTAACCTTGAGTACCGAGAGAGTACAAATTTGTCTTAAAGAAATTGTAGTTGCACAAGACTTAGATTGTCTATTTTGATTTTCTTATTTGATTGTTCGTGCAATTCTGTGTTACTATAAATACATCGATTTTACTTACTTTCTATTTTGATTAAGTTGCATATAACAATATGCAGATCTAAGTTCAATTCTGTTATTGCAAGTTAAATTTCATGTAGTTTAATATAATCTAATTTTATACTCCAAATTACAATCGCAGGCAGAGCAAATTCCACTGGATTTCTACGGCACAAGTATTTTAATTGAAACCGTTTTCAGTGTTATTGAACATACACCTAGGAAGTGTAAATATTACAAAGTGCAGGAGACCCTGACTTCTATTCAGGCAGTGGGATGTCAGAAAGATCCTCTCTGAATGGAACAGGCTCAGACCCGAGCACGCCATCGGCATCACCTTGCCCGTGCTCCATTTTGATTTGGGCGTTATCGTTCTTCGTTGGCTCAATGAACGTGACGACGACGTCTTTCCGAAAAATGAGGTAGATTACGGAGACGACATAGACTGCCATCACGGGGAAGACCAGTATTCCTATGAACACATTTCCCACTTTTGGCAAACTGTTGTTAATTAGCCAGCCGACAAAACCTGTGCTCAGGTAATAGACGTTGATCCCGATTATTCCCAATCCCAGTATCCAGCAAATCACGATAATCTGCATGCATGGAAATAAGTGGTTGATGCCTCGTAAATGGATATACAGATAAGTCACTCAATTAATAGGATAATCATACTTAATTTTCATCGCCAATTGTTTTAGCTAGTTAGGGTGACGACATTGCATCCCTAATTTCGCCACTACATTGAATTAACGGTTAAAATTGATTAATTCTTGACAAGAATTTGAAAATAACGATGATACAAATATTAAAGATATTAAAGGGTCGGGTAATAATAATATATAACACAGATAACATAATTTTGTCTTAAATTCAGGGGTTGAATTTTTGTCTTAAATTCAGGTTCTTAAATGTAAATACTTTCAACTCTTTTATTAAACTCACATAGACCCAATGAAAAATAAGTTCATTAAAGACACAAGCCACATAGAATTTGTCTATTTTATATAAAAGAGGAGGGAGATGCTTTATTGAGTAGCCCTTTATATATATTTTTTAAATGCTTAAATAACACATTATTTTTAGTGTTTAAAAAAGAAATCGGGTTGCATTTAGTTTGGACCCGATCCTTAGCAATTCGGTCCGAGCTCAAGTTGAACCCGTGACTTCAAAGCCTTAACTTGAGCCCAGACCGAATTTAATTCGAATCGAAAATTTCTAGCCCATATCTAACCTAAGTTTTAAAAAACTCAATCCCAATATTGATTTTTAGGGTTAACTCATCCAATTTACACTCTTAAAATGTAAGTCGCAAATCATTAGCTCTAAGTTATTGTTGTAGTTTATAAGCGTAGAACACTTTGTTTTGTTATACTGATGATCTTTTTCTCATTTTTCATCTACTGCCATACGTGAAGTGGTTATATGAAGTTAGTCGAGGCACAATGGGAAAAGAAAATCAACTCACATATATTGAGTTCTTGTGTGGGCCCATCTTGGTGGTACTGCTACCGAATTTAAGGAGAGGGATTAGAGAAAATGGAAGCTCAAATGATAGTATCATCTGCAAATTCCATCAAAAAACATAAAATTTATGCACAATGTCAATATTGATTTTTTTTTTCTGGGTAAATAACAAAAAAAATTTATATGTATTTGCTTATGTTATATCATTATGACTTATGTCAACATACATTTTTTTTTTCTTTCGGCTAAGTACCATAAGTTTTAATAAATGTTGATTATAAGATACTAACCGATGCGATGATGATAAGCTGGCCAGATGCGGCAGATCCACCGATGACGGAGACAATAAGACTAGGGGTGATGGCAATCGATCTGGTCAGTAAGCTCCTTTTCCATGCCTTCATCTTAAGGTTCAAGAAACCCTAAGAATTGCAGAACCAACCAGTCAAAGAACTGAGGTATATATATATAAAAATAATTGAACAAATGAAAATTACAAACACACAGGGTTTTTGCCACCTGCATGATAAATTGTCCAGCATATGTTGCGGTGATAGCGGAGCTTTGCCCTGAGGCTAGTAATGCAATAGCATAAACAGTGGAGCTTGACTTTCCCAACACATTCTGCCAAAAATAAAATCATATATATATTGGTAACATCTTCGAGATTTGGATTTCTTTCAGAACACTTTTTTTTTTTAATGATAGAACACCCATTATGAATTAAATTAGAACCCATTTATATAATGAGTTTTTCACTATGGGCGACGTACTATTAGTAGAAATAGATATTGGTATGCTCGTTGAAAGGAGAGATTACGATCCAAAATTTCAAGCTCGACATAAAATTAGGCGTTCGTAGATTATTTTTCATGTGAGTATTAGACATCCACTGTGTGTTATCTAGCAATGAAGATATCTGTTATTGAAGTGGATTAGATTTGAGTTTTGAAAGCTAAAGGGTAGTTTAGAATCTTTAAACCTTGAGGAGGAAAGAGGCAGAGTCAAGATTGAGATTGTTGCATCTATTCTTGTTGTCATCTGAGAGATCTTTGGCCGAGCAAACAGCAGCAGCTACTGAGATCATTGCAACATTAATTAGAAGAGCTACAAAGAGTGCAAATGCAGCCTCCATCAAGAAGAATCGACATGCATCCTGCAACATCGAGAAAGCAGTAAGTAAAAATTTCACATATATCCCTCACCAAATGCATTGAAGGGTGGCGATAGTTTGAGGGATAAAATGCAATTAATCCAATTTTATATGTATTGCTGATTTCTGAGTTCTTTTTTCAATAATCGTCCATTGAATTCAATGTTGTTTATCATTGGGCTCCTAGACATAATTTATTCATATATATTTCCACACACACACACATATTTATCAACTGGATATGCATTTCAGTATACCCATACCTAAAATCAATTTATGTCAACCAAAAACAACACTATTATTATTGGCTTACATTGATGCCACGAACAGAATTTGGTATTTTCCTAGACAGTACAAGAGCCGAGTGGAGGAATAGGTTATGCCTGTAGACGAACGACAGAAAAAAAAAAAAAAAAAAGAAGTAATCTTAGGACAAACTCTAAAGAAATAAATTCTGAGTAACATATTGACGACGAGTTGACATATATATATATATGATCCACAATGGAAAATTTGTATCAAAAGATCAAGATCATACGGCATGACGAGGGCACCGAGGAGGGCAATGCAATTGCCAACGGCTCCATGACCACTGAGCTTGGGGACAAACAAACCCTTAAGCACATCTGATGTAGGAGGCTTTACATACACCATTTCTCCAAAAAAACAAGCAGCCATGACGAACACCAGCACTGTTATCAGTATTTCTAGCTTCCTCACCTAGCCCGTAATAATAAAATTAATTAAAAATATAATTATGATAAATTGGAAGTTTAGTTTTCATCAAATTCAAACATATATGTAACATCGAAATTTCGAGCTGAGCAATTTATTTTGCTATCTCAAGGTTATGCTGCATTCTTCTTGTTCTTTAACTTCCATAAGAATCATTAGTTTTAATACATAAGCAGATTTATAAAAATACAGAATTTGGGGAGGGGTTATATATCTATATAATAAAGTAACTTACAATTCAAATTTCAAAAGATAAATAAAATAATTTTTGTTATTCGCGGTTGAGATCGCTTTAAATTTTACTTTAAAGTTAATCTAAAGGTTAATATTAAAACTCCAAATTTAACAGAAAAAATAGGCTCCTAAAGGTGTGTTTGAAATAATTTTTTTAAAGTGTTTTTAAGAATTATTTCTCATAAGTACTTTAAAAAAAAATATTATTTTAAACTGTTTTACCACTACCTCCACCTCTACCACCACCACCACCACCAACATTGCCACCGCTACCGCCACCACCACTATTGTTGCCGGCGCCGCCACCCTCACCTCCACTACTATTACCACCACCACTATCACCACCACCACTATTGCCCTCTACCGCCACTGTCACCGCCATCGCTATTGTCGCAGCCACCATCGCCATTGTTACTACCACCACCACCACCATGGTCATTGTCATCTACCATAACCATCACCGTCTTCTACCACCACCATTGTCGCTCACCACCTCTTACTCTCACTGCAACCGTTACTTAAATTCTTTTATCTCTTTTCTATATTCGTGATTTGAATTTAAATATAAATATAATTATCATTTATCATTTTTTTATTATTTTATGCCATTAGACACAACCAATAACTAGTATATATGTATGTGATATCCATGAATGATTTTTGAACTCGTCAGTGGAGTGGTGGTTGTAATGAAGCTATCTCACTAAAATAACATTTAGTAAAGAAGGAGTTTTATTTTAAAACATGTTTTCAATCTTCGTATTCATGTAACTGAATAAGAAATTTATATCAATAGGTTTGTTTTGTAAATGAAAGCAATTTTTTAGATAATGAAAACTCTAAAATACAGAAAAGGGGGGAGAGAGAGAGAGAGAGATATTCATAATAAACTTACCCCATATCTCTGAAGGCCCAGCAGTAAGAGAGTACTCAAACCAGTGAGGAGAACTCCAGCCCAAAGTGGGATATGGAACAATATGTTTAGTCCAAAGGCTGTCCCAATCACTGCCACAAAGAGAAAAAAAAAAAATTTGAGTCTTAAGACAAGTACAATATAGCCATGTACTACTTTTCTGAAAAACTAACAACTGTAACATCCCATTAAAATAATGGGCTTTTGCGAAGTAGGAATATTACTCCATTTGTGGGTTGGTAGTTAGAGCACAAATGGTCTTTTTGACAAAAGAAAACACTTATAGCATGATTCCAAATAATGGTGATAGCAGTTATGATGGTGTAACGGATGCAGAGTTAAACGAGTGTTACGTAACGGTAACAAAAATCAAAAGTGTGAAATTTTTTTGACTCACAATCATTCATAAAACATGAATATTTATATTTTTCAACTCTAAAATCACACAAAAAGTGTTTAATGATTTCTAGTACATTTTATTATACAAAAAGTGTTTAATGATTTCTAGTACATTTTATTATATTATAAACATGATAATATAATATTAAAAGTATGTACAATATTTCTTAAATTGTGACCCACAGAACCTTCATTAATCCCATAAACTCCATTGCAACAATCAGTAAAGTAGCAAAAAGATTTGACCACAAGACAAAACAAAGCAGCATATCATCTCTAGAAAAAAACCCAAAAGGGTCGGTGGCTTGGAGATTTGGCCGTTCGATGCATCTTCCACCGTTCAACGCAAGCAGCAAGCACAGGTCTAAAATGCAAGATCCGAAAGCAATCTCAACAACCGTTCGACAGTTGTGGTTTCAAGTCTTTCGACAGTTCGGCGCAATCAAAGATCCGAAATCAATCTCGAGAACTGAGATCTGAAATCCAGGTGGGTTTAATGCCTTCTTTGTATCTATTCAAAGGATTTTTAGATTTAGTTGTGTGTAGATCTTGATCTGAGTGAAGGAAGATGATGGAGAACTCGATTGAATCTGGTTTCCGAAGGAAGGGATCTCAAATCGATTTTCGGGTTATGACGGGTCAAATCGTCCCGATTTTACCCGTAACTACCGTTACGGTGCTGTTACCCGACTGTAACGCGCCGTAGTAGTAAAAGTATATATATATATATATATTTGTGTACGTATAAGTGTGGATGAGTAAAGTGTAGAGGACGTGCCTTCAGGAATATCAGCAGCTATGACAGAAACCTCAGACAGCAACCATAGGCAGTATTTCACTAATATAGGGTACTCAGCCTTGCATAACTCTGCTAGGTGTTTGCCTGCCAACCGAAACAAATTAATATGGTATTTTTTTTATGATATGTATGATAATATATATAATATATATGCGTCTTACCAGTGCTTACACCAAGATTAGCAGCTAGTGACTGAATTAAGAGAGCAAAGATCAACCCAACAAGGATAACCCACAGCAGCTGAAAAGACAAGTTACATAAGCTAGCATGGTTAGTTTCTCGAGTTTTCCACTATATCCATATCTTCCAAAATTTTATTTCCCAATTTCATGGAATTTCAAACTTATTTTCTAAACCCATGTAAGATATCGGTTGAAATGACATTTTTGAATGAAATTTATCTACTTAGTATAGCATAACATGTCATTTGAAATGACGTTTCCTAAATGTAAATGAATTTGGGAAATAAGATTGAATTGTACAGATTTGTGAAATAAAGGTTTCAAATAAGTGTGTATGATGAAATAGGAGCATATTATATTACCTCATATCCGTAGCTAGCTCCTGCTTGGAGATCAGTTTCCACTGTGACATGATACCATGTAAAGTTCTGGAGTCATGACGAACTAAAAAAGAAACACAGAGAGAAAGAAAGAGAGAGACTTACTGTTTCCAGGGTCAAGATAAGCCATTGAAACAAGGAAACCAGGACCAACGAATGATAGAAAGTTTAGCCATCCAGGTTTCTAATTATCGACGGTAAATGAAAGTTATACAAGAGTTTGAGAAAACATGAATCTAGGTAGTGTGTTTAGTACAAAGAAAGGAAGTAATACATGCATGAGAGAGAGAGAGAGAGAGAGACCTGTTGCTTTTGTTCCTCATGATCAGAGTGGTCATGGTCAAAGGCTACAATGCGATTACTGATTCCACCATTTCCTTGCTGTTGCAGCTGCATGCTCGCCATCTTCTTCTTCTTCTCTCTCTCCCTCTACAACTTATCACTCCCCTTCACATGTATCCTTGTATTTATACAGCATATGTTTGTGTGTCGGAACTGTGAAACTTAATATTTTGAGATATTTTTTTAGAACAGACAAATAGAATAAAATACATACTTTGGAAAACCATTCAAGCACACATGCATGTGGTGGAGTAAATATTCAGTGTAATAATTATAGAACGTCATTGGCCGATAGTGATACGTGCTATTATCCATCAGTGATAATATACCATATAGAATAAGTCAACCTCATTATTCTAAGGGGTTAGTCAATCGTTGTAGTGAGTATTAGAAGTTACTAAATTAGTGAGATCCACTACACACACAGTCTATTATCATTATTTGATTATCTTACATTTCTATTATGACGTAATATCACTATTACATTAAATATTTTTTGCATGTTGTCGTATGAATAATATTAATATTTACTACTGAAAATATAAACAAAATCAATAGGAGAATTTTCATGCTCAACATGTACAACTTGCGGTATTTACATCCAATGAAAAATTGTAACCAATATTATTTTTCAGCACACATGGGGACTTAACCATAGTTAAAATAACATTAGGAATCTAACCAATGAATCATCAACTTCTGATGGAATTTGACTTATATAATCCCTGCACTTAAGTTAACATGATCCAACACTTTGAACCTGCACCATCGTCTGGTAGGCCTTATTATCAAAACCTTAATTTTATGAGTAATGTTATCATTATTACAATGACATATAATTCGATTTTGATCTTTGCCTCTTGTTTTGGTCAATATAGAATTACTCTAATTTTATACTTGACCAATAATTCTGTTTTAGTTATATCGCTAATCCGAATTTTACAAAAATAAACTAAACCCACAATCAATTGTAAGCTGACAGTAATTATTAAAAAAAAACAAGTAGGTAAGAGCAACTCCAAATCATTCTCTATTTTCTATTTCTTTGCCATTTTATCTAGCCCAACTCCAAAAAACCTAATCAACCCACCCTTAGTCTCACTTTATTTCTCATTTCACCTCTTCAATCAACTTTTTCTTTTTCCATTTCACCATTTCTTATTCTTCAACTTTTTATTTTTGCTCTTCCTCTTTCTATTTTTTTTTTGGGTTAAATATGACTGTTGAAAACTTGACCGTTAAAAATATGAGGACGACATGGTAGACTACGTGATATTTTTTATTTAAATTATCGAAAGTAGTTGAAATAGTTAATTAAAATAGAGAGTGTGGTTGAAGTGAATTTATAAAAGTGACTTTTTAAAATAAAAAATATAATATTTAAATATATTTTTGGTAGCTAAAATGTTGGAGCTGTTAAGTAGTCCCTATAGCTTGCTTTCGATATCATTTAATCCTTTTAGTTTTGTAAGTAATTTCTAAATAGTCAAATCCTTGACTCCCCAGATGTTGGCTGGCCGACGTTTGACTTATTACCAGATAATCCGAGGATTAATAGAAAAGTTTGGATGGCTCTCTAATTCGAATAGAAAGATTTTAGGAAGTTGTATATGGGGCGGTGCAACTTGGATTTAATTTATGAATATAATTTATTAACTTAATCACTTATAACCATTAGATTGACAAAAGACTTCCAATAGTTGTTGGGACTTGAAATTAATTCAATGGTTATAATGAATCAAGTCAAAATAACATTATCGTTACTATAATCTAGTTCGACTTTCCAAAGAGAATCAACATTAACCCATAAACATATTTTACGATTGATTATACTTATTCAAGATTCGTATTGCGGAATCAATTTTAAGAGCATGCAGTCGAGATAGTTCACCATTATTAGAAAAATAACATATCTATATAACATCCTTTTTGTTATATTTTCTTTTTCTTAATGATTTTTTTTTTTTATATTTAGCTTTGGTGTGTATTGACATATCTTTGTTTAATTTATTTATAGTTATTGGTTGCAAAAATAATACAGTGAAGTAAAATAATAAAATAAAAATTGTGTTTCATAAAACCGAAAAAACAGACGCTTAACACCGTTGGTGGACCCGAAAAGAATGGAGAAGAATGCATACAACCAACAGTAGTTAGCTGATAGCATCAATTGAATTAATATTTTGACCATCGGACGTGACCCATAGCCATAGATATGATTCATGCCTTTTTGTCAAAAGTTTTTGAGGCAAGATAAGGAAGATTCATGCCATTTTTCTGCGGTCCTTGTCAACTAATTATACTAATTACCTCGTGCATCTTAAATGAAGCATGCCGTCTAAAGTTTTGAAAATATTATTTTGACACCCCTTAAATTTAGGTGAAATAATATAATTATCTTTTGATATTTAAACAATGGCGTAAAAGAGTTTCTGGATAAACGACAAAGACGAGTTCTCAATAATTAATGAAATAAGAGTCTCATTACGGTATCGGCTAGTGTTTTTAGTATCGTATCTTTATTTTTTAACCAATAAAAAATCTCATATGTGCAATTTTTCAATTTTATGATTGTTAGTTACTTTATTATTATTTCAATTAGTGGTTGTAAATCATTTACTGCAAAATCAATATCTAAGATTAATAGAGGTATGATCCTGACTGTAGCCTGACCTTTGAATAATCACTTTATACCCTTATTTGGTAGTTGGAAATTGAAAAATCAACATAAAGAGGGACATCACTCAAACTTAGAAGGCATTGGGCATCTATGATATGATGATGATGTGATCCAATATTGTTGTTGTGAACGTAAATCTACAACTCTTAGAGTTTTTCATTGACACATTATTAGGTCAACTTATTTGGTTAGTTTTTTAGGTTCCAATAGCATTACTTTTATACTTAATTTAATGACCTAATTTAATGTAACCATTGATTTGGTAGTGGACTCCATCTACTATTAAAACTAACAATTAATCCAATGAATGTATTAAATAAGGTCCATATAGGCTTGTTACTCCAAAATCTGCTGGGATCAACAAAAATGTCTCAATTGACAGATAGTTTTCAGGCGACTATTTGTAATGGATTCTAAATCTTTTTTTTAGGACTTCCTTGGATAAAAAACAATGGGCAATCATATTGTGCAAAGGAGAAATGAAATAACAAAGAACTAATAAAAGCGGATTCATTTATTACTTCAATTGAATAGACTTTGGTTGCAAAAAATTAAACAAAACAGTCTTGATTACAGTACTTGATGCTTTCTAAAACTATTTCTAATAATGCCTAGATTGTGTGTCTTTTGGGAGTTTGAGTGTATCTTCATCTTCTCCACAAAATTCCCTTTTATAGCTATTGTCTTCAACGATTTTGCTAATATCAACAATTATTAACCGATAACTCCTAGTTAGTTACTTTTACCTTTTCAAATATGGCTATGGCTGATCATTTCCTACGTTTTTTATTCTACCACGTGGCACTTTCTAAATGCACTTGGGATGTCAGATGTCAATACATTGAATATTCCCAGAATTTTATATTTTTTATCCAAACAAGGCTATAACATTACTTTTTCCAATTGCTTTCATCACCCGGAGAGATTGTAAGGGATGAAAGGAAAGCTTAAGGTTTGTATTTCGAAATAAAGTTACTATTGGAATGGAGTTTTTTTTCATTTCTCCTACTTTTCTTAAGCTCTGATTTTAAGACTCGATTGTTCGTAGCAATCAATTGGTAGCAAGCCAGCCCCAAAAGTTAGTAAAAAATGAGCTTTCACTCAAAAAGAAAACACTTATGTGCTTCATGGTATTAGAGCACAAAGGCATAAGAGTGTCTTATACCCGGGGGGGGGGGGGGGGGGGGGGCTTTGAAAAGGAATAGAGTAAGGTCTTCACTTTTTAGCAAGTGAACGAACGTCAAATAGCTGTCGGGGACAATATCTCTTTTATAAGAGTGTCTTATACCCGGGGGGGGGGGGGGGGGGCTTTGAAAAGGAATAGAGTAAGGTCTTCACTTTTTAGCAAGTGAACGAACGTCAAATAGCTGTCGGGGACAATATCTCTTTTATTTCAATGTTTTTCATTAACTACTTAATTGGCCCCTAACTTATGATTATCCCTAATGCATTTCTGAAAGAGTCACCAAACTTTTGTTATTGGGTTTGGACAACTTGTGTGCTCCAAACACTGATTTTTAAGATACGAATGTTTCTGTTGATCACTATTTATGTGATGCTCTCCTCTATTTGTCTTTTTTTTTTTTCTATCAGATACTATTATAGGGATAGGGACGAGGAGATTCGAACCTGCGCCTTTAAGGTCCAAGAGAGGGGCAGTGACTATTAAGCCAAACTTCTAACCTGAGTGCTCAATTTGTCATGAATGTTGTTTGGAGCTTGAAGTGTTGAATTGTGATACTATGCTCTGTTTTGTCCTAAATGCTATGTGAAGCCTGAAGTATTGATGCTGCCTTCCACTAATGGTCAAGATTTTGCTATGGTCGATCAGAGAGATCTATTGCCCAGATTCATTGCTTCCTTCTTTTACATACGGGGGAAATACGGAAAATTACAGATTTATTGCCCAGATTAAGTTATAATTTTTTAATATGTAAGTTATAACTATAAAAGACAGGTGGACTAAAGCAAATTTTTAGTAATAAAATTTAATTTTTGGATCGAGTTTGAGTCTATAGTAAATGGGACTCACTTATTATTTTGAGTAAATTTCCGGCGGATTGTGTTCTACTCCATGAAGAAAATAATATAGTATATTCACTTTGCTCAAACTGATTAAGAGGTGAATGAAAAAATAGATTTCAAAATAACCCTCTTGAATGTGGAAATAGAGGTTGGGACAATGTGGGATTGCACACCAATGCAATATTAGTTGGGCAAGAAATATTTTATGAGTATATATATCTCAAGTTTGCTTTTTGGGTTGGGATCCAAGGAGCACCGCAATTTTGTGATTGGGTGAGGACCTACATGGGTCTAGGTTCGACCACACATGCATGTCGCCGCCCAATTGACAAGGCCGAGTGTGCGTGTACCTCTAATT